TAACATAACTAAATATACTAAGTTGTATTATTTGTGAGTTAAGACTGTTCGTATCTCTCTTTTACGATAAGTCATTTATAAATATTTATTTTATCATTTTAATTTCATTATCTATGCTCTGTTTTTAATTTTTAATTTTTATTTTGTCTGATTTCTCCTCTTTTTTATTTGATTTATTTCCGTTTTGATTTATAATCTCGTATATTTCATACTTTATACAAAGATAAAAATATTCGTATTTTTTAACAACTAAATTAAATATGGTAATATAAAATATTTTATCTTTTACGTACAAACAAATTTCTAAAAAAAATATATTATTATATGTAACTACCAAAATTATCATTTCTCTTAATTATTCTATTATTAAACTTATTAACACTCCCTTATAATCCCTTACTATCTTATTAAAGCAGTAGAATCAAATTACCGCGCTCTATTCATCGATATTAATAAGGATAATCATATGTTAATCTATATAAATAGTTTAAATTATACCATACAAAAATATCGAGTCAATATCATAACGTAATGTATTTGATATAATTATTTAATTTTATTTCAATTTTATATACATTAGTCTCGTTCGAATCTAAAGTAATGTACAAAATTAATTTAAAGATCATTTCAAGTCACACAAATTATTATCAAACTTATAGGAGAATCAATTATCCATAACTAAATTCAAACCATATAATATAATTTCAATTAGATGAAAAATATAATTCCAATAATTAAAAGAAAATGTAAATAAATAAATATAAACTCTTATTCTCGATATTTTTTATAACTTTTTACATTCGTGTCTCGCAATTATATTAAAAATTCTTACACATTCTTTTACGCATCAAAAGATCTAAAGTCAACTATATAATTTTACACACGTAGTTCTTAAATTCTACTATATATATATATATTTAAAAAATTTGTAATTGCTAAGTATAGTAACACGTTAAAACTAAAATTATATAATCCATATATTGGGAAGTTAGAATCAAATGAGAATTTGAAAAAAAAAAGGAAGTGGTCGGGTTTGGATGTTATTCGTAAGTAATTATGAGTAATTTATATCGTACTATTAATAATTTTGTTCTCGTACTTTTATCTATTTTTAATAATACCAAATTTAAAAACTAACGTAATTTTTTTATTTTTGTCGCTCGAGAAGGTAAAAATTATAGTAATCTACAAGATTATAGAAAACTTAAAGTATAAATGATGTTAAATTATAATTGTTAATTAATATAATTAATCAACATGTAAATTAATTTTTAATTTAATTAATTTAAGAAATTGAGACATAAATATTTTTATTTTTTATTTTTAAATTTTAATTTAGTTAACAATTAATTGGATGTAATAAAAAATAAAAATATTTAACTGTAATAAAAATTTATGGGAATTAAATTAGAATAAAACCAAAGTATAGGGTTTAAAAGGTAAACTGAACTTCTTACGCGTATATAATATATACACACATGTACATATACATATACATATACATATACATATACATATACATATACATATATACACACACATGTACAGACATAACATATGATGTTAGAAGAAAGCTTGATTTAGTTTTTCTACAGTTCAATCTCTCCGGATTCGCGTGTCCTCCATTCACAACCGATACGTGGAATCCTCCCGAATCAACACAACAGCAACAACCAAAAAGGAAAGAAGAAAAACGAAAGACTCGATCAGATCCCTCCAGGTGTGCACATTCAATGTTCGTCCTTCATCGTTTTCAATTTTCCGATTTCATCGATCGGAGCATTGAAAACTCCGCGTTTTTTC